ACTGCTCTGACCGGGATCACAACAGAGGGTTCTGGACAGAGCTGGAGAAGGATGTAGAACAAAATTCTAACTCACAAAAAAAGACCAGATTTACTGGCCTGACAGAGACTGGAGAAACCCTGAGAGCATGGCCCCTGGACACTCTTTTAGCTCCGTGGTGAAGTCGCCCCCGAGGTTCACTGTTTAGCCAGGGATTGGACAGCCCCATAAAACAAAACGGGACTAATGAGGCACAGCCGTCACGGACAAGGACTAGAAGGCAGGAGTGGACAGGAAAGCTGATGATAGGGAATCCAACGTTGAGAAGGGACAGTGTTGACATGTCATGGGGTTGTTAATCATTGTCATAGGGCAATATGTGTACTAACTGTTTAATGAGAAACCGTTTGTTCTGTAAACCTTCATCTACAGTACAAAAAAAGGAAGAATTATCTATGTGAGATCAAATTGACAACAGCAACTCAAAAGGTTTGATGGGAAGCCTAGGGGGCAGTGAGTTGAAGATAATGGTGATAGAATAATTTGGAAAAGGATAGTAATAATAGCAGCACAACTGGAAGAATGTTATCAATGTCATGAATTGTACATGTAAAAACTTTTGAAATGGTGTTAACTTTGGCTATGTATATTTTCACCAAAAAAAAAAAAAAAAAAGGGTCCTCCAAGGTCGAGAAGGGAGAGTGCTGACATGTTGTGGGGTTGTTAACCAATGTCATAAAACAAATGGTGTACTGTTTAATGAGAAACTATTTGTTCTGTAAACCTTCATCTAAAGTACGATAAAAAAAATTAAAAAGAAAAAAAAGAAGGTGGAAGGAATACGGAGTCACTGTACCAAAAAGAATTGGTCAAATGTAAAAAAAAAGATACAAGAGGATTTTGTTCTAAATATACATGCAACTTTAACTGAACAGAATCTTTGGTTATCTAAAACATTCTTCTGGGAAAAACTGAAAACAAATGTAGCTCAGTTGTTGTTTTAATGGGATAAATTTTGTACAGCTCAAGAAAAACACATGTATAGAGAGTCAGACAGCCTGAGCTCAGTATGAACTAAAATTGCATATTTGCTCAAGGGGGTCTTCTTGATATCTAAGAATTTACACCAACTGCAAGACCTACATGAAATTGCGCATGAACCACATACTGGCTGCTGTTTAGTAGAAATGTTTACCAAGGTAATTGTCATCTTCTGGATTTCCAGAATAGCTGTGCTGAAGAATGTCAATGTTTGTTGCTCCAGTGGGAATCTTTACTACAACATTATAACCTGCAATATAATTTTTTACATGTTAAATTTCATAAAAAGCAGATGGCTAAGAGACTATCATTGCTGAATGACTGAAAAATTTGAATAGCATGGTCAGACTTACTTTCATTTTATATTTTAAAAAATTATTGTGCTCATTCTTTTTGAGTCAATGCAGTTATACAAATTACTAAGGACTGAGAAAAAGTTGTTGTTGTTTAAAAACATATTGAGACTGTAATTCTTAAGTACAACCTTTCCTAATTTTTCTTATTTGTAAAATTCTCAGCATAGAATGGAAATGAAGCTATTATTTCAGCTCCTGAGATACTTAGTATACATATTAATTTTAAATTTGACTAATATTTTTTACATTTCATGATTTCCAATGGGAAAAAATACAGGATTATGAACTATTCACAAATTCAGTATAAAACAAAATAATTGGTCATGCTCTGAATGTGCACCCAGAGACTCAATAAACAGCAAAAGACTGAAAGTTAATGAGAAACACTTTCTCTTAAGCTTTTAGTTTGTAGTATAAGCAGGAATCCCTATAGTTGCCCCTAGAAGTTTACATTATTTTGAAGAGCCTACTAATAAACTCATCAGGAGAAAAGTAGTTTACTTGAGATGAACGAAAATAGTATTTATACTTTATGAGACCAAATTTGAGAACACTGGCATTGCTGTAAGTGAGAAAACACTATACTCAATCTATATTAAGTAAGAAAGGATATTTTCCCAACATGAAAAACACTCATATAGTTGTTCAAATAGTTTCAGGTTTCAGTCAATAATTAATTATGCTATAGCAATATTATTCTAAGTTTCTCATTTCCTTATTTATTAGGATTTCCCCTTCTATTTAGTACATGAATAAAACATGTTGTGATTTTTCTTGTACACTAATTTTGATAAATATGTAATGACCTTAAGAAGAGGAATTTTTAAAAAAGTTTAAATCTGCAGCCCTGATAAGAGATTATCTTGCATGTTTTTACAATAGCCTTATTTATGTCACTTCAAGGTAGCGTAACTTAAATATAAGGTGATAAATGGTATGATTATTCCTTATGCATAATATTGGTTTTAGGTTATCAATATATAATAATAATTTTAACCCCCAATTTTTTCACTATAAAATATTCCCCCTGCTTCCACTATTTATACCCTTGCTATATCTTTCCAAGAAAGCAAGCCTAAAGCATTGCAAAGGTGACAAGATAAAGACTACCACCAGAGGGCAGAAGTGTGACAAATGTTATTCAGACCTTGCAAATGAATTTAACACTTTTTTCCATTTGCAGACTGATAAATCATAATGCAATTTTGGCAAGGTTAAATATTCGATGATAATTAGGTATATAGAAAAAATTTTTTCAATGAATACAGACCAAACTTTGATAAATGTGTGCCATCGGTCTTAAGAGGATTGAATGTGTGTGGCTCTCATAAAACAATGAATCATAACCATTAGCAAAATAATAGGTCAAATGATCTAGTAACTAACAATCATAAGCATCATCATGGTATGAAGTATACTATATTCTTGATATAGAAAAAAATACAAATTTTGTGTTTAAATTATACTGTTTTAAGTGAAGCAATTAATGCTAGCTTGAACAACTGTTTGAACATGTGAACACAATTAAAAGCTGAGTAAGACTGTAAAAAAATACATTTTAGCTTTGCAAAAAAAGTTCTGCTTTAATTACCATGAAGATAAAAAAAAAAGAAGAAGAAGTTTACCCAGGAAATTTTAGAATGGCAAATATCTGACCTGTTATATTCCAAGAGCAATTTTTTTTTTTGTTGGGGGGAACTATGGTCAAATATCCATTGTAAGTGTGAATGCAGATAACCCATTGCCATCGAGTCGATCTCAACTAACAGTGACCCTAGAGAACAGAGCAGAACTTCCCCATAGGGTTTCTAAGGCTGTAATCTTTATGGAAGCAGACTGCCACATATTTTTCCTGCTGAGCCACTGGTGGGTTCAAACTGCCAACCTTTCGGTTAGCAGCCAAGAGTTTAACCACTGTGTCACCAGGGCTCCTTGTGATCCAGATACTACCTAGAAAATTAAATGTAATGATAATTCCCAATCAACATTTATGTTAATGGTTTCATCCTTCACCTTCAACTAACATTTTTAATATGTCATTAATAATAAGAAACACAAAGATAGGTCAGGTCACACATAAAGTACAGTTTAAATGATAAAAAAAAATTGAAAGCAAGTTTCCTTGAAAATTCATAAATACATAGATTTCAGATTATAGGAACATCAGTAAAAGCACTTCATTAATTATGGGAACTATTCATACATCATTGTCAAATGGCACTTGATTCACTCTAAGCACCTAATAATTTTTTAGGAATCTGATCTACCTTGGGCATGTGAATCAATAATTCAATGATATATCTAAGATTTAATTTTTTTATATTTAGAAAACTTTCTTTTTTAAAAAAGTTATTTTAATTGTTATGAATATATATATAATACAACATTTGCTGAATTTGGTCTCATAAAATATTCATGTGTACAATTTAGTGACACCAATTATATTAATCATGTTGCACAAGGAAAACTTCCTTTAACAATCATTTTGAACTAAGAGTATAGGGTAGATAAAACAGTAACAAATCGTTACTATTATACCTTCATTATATACTTTATTATTACATCAAATACAAGGCAAAACTAGAAGGGCCTTCACAGCTTACCATAATGAGCACTATTGAAGACACCAGCCATCATCCTGCAAGAAGAGTTATCTCCACCACACACTCCACATTTGTCTCTCTTGGCCTTAGAGTTTAACACATGATCGCAGCCAGCTTGCTTTAAAAACACAGTAATTACAACCAATATCATAAAATTGACCAGTTGTAACAACAGTGCTTTAAAATTTACAAGGTTATTTTCACAAATACTCTTTCAATTAACAGAAGATTCAATTCCACAGGATTTTTAAAGAATAGTGTCTACTGATCTCATTATATATCAATATTTTCACACATCTGTCCACATGATCTAAAAAGCGGTGTTTTGCAAAGGGTTATCCACATACCTCCTGCATCAGAATCACATGGAGTAGCATTTTAAAAGGTAGAGTCCTAGATTTTCTGCATTAAATTCCTTGGAGGTGAAACCTAGTACTCTGCATTATAATAAACACTGACAGTGATTCCTATACCCACCATCATTTGAAAATCACTCTTTAAAGAAGCATAATTCAAAGGGACAAACAGTACGATTACCTAAGTAACAAATTAGAATAATTAACCCCAAAAAGATGTCACATGATTCATTTATTAACTCATGACTTCAAAACCCTAAGAATAAACTCAGTATATTTGAAAGAAACAATTTATTGCTCCAAAATTAAGATCCAGCATAATAAACAGTGCTTGTTAAAAGAAAGAATGAACAAATGAATAAAGGTGAAAGAAAACGATTTGTTCCAGTGGTTCAATGCAGAAGACATCTTCTGCATAGGATGCAATAACGCTTTCAGTTCTTTAGAATATTTCTCTAAATTTAATATGATCAGAACAGTAAGGAAATTGCATAAGTCTCGTAAAATCTTTTATACACAAGGTAAATACTGTGAAATATTTGTCTTGTGTACAAAATGAAAAGTTCATTTTCAATCAGATATTTTCTGGAAGCATTATGCATCTATATGTTCAGATAATCTTTATCAGATTTTTTTCATTTCCATGTGACTATCTACTGCTAATTTAGATAACACATAAGTTTTATAGGATATTAAGTAACATTTCTCTAGTATTTAAGCTAATTTCAAATGTGCAAGTTATTTTAATTCTTCTTGAACTTCTCAATAGCTTTTTGAGTACAGGGCTTTTCTCACCTAGGTAACTGGTAGATATTTGATTAGGAAATTGGTCTTATGGAGTTCCACCTTAACCAAAGAAATGAGCTCATAAGACTACACTTCTATTTTTTAGACTGCATTCACTATCCTAGTTCTCAAACTCACCACCCATTTTTAAGATTGCCAGCTCCAATGTTTGTGCTTTAATTCAGGGTCTCAACAGTTCTCACCTAGAATCCTTCTAAACGACTCACCTACCTCCAATCTCCTAACCTAGTACATTCTGAAAGCTACAATGTGCAAATCAAATCATATCTATTGCTCAATTTCAAATCCTTTTATGGATCTCCAAGAACTTTAGCAAAAAATGCATGTTTCTTAGCATACAACAACCATTAGCTAGTCCTTATCTACAACCTTTCTCCCTTATTTCTTCACCTTTCTAAAACTACTTATTCTCAATACTTAGCTCAAGTCTCACAACCTCCATGAAGCATTCTCTGAATCCTTTACCATCTCTCCATAAAATATGACACTCCTTCCTCAAAACCCCCATGCCACCTTGCAGATAACCCCAGAGCACTGAATTCTAATTGTTTATATGCCTATCTCCCCCATAATTCTGTAAGCATCTTGGAAGTAAGGGCTCTCTTCCATGCTTTTATCCTTGGTGACTAGACAGTATGTAGCATCTAGTAGGTACTCAATAAATGCTGAACGTATATAAGAAGGAAGAGAGAGATGAGGGATGGAGGAAAGGATGGAGGGAGGAAGGATAAAAATGCTTTTAAAACAGGAAAAAGTTACCACACAAGGTCACATTTGAAGTAGCGGAAAAAAAAAACAAAAAAAAACTTACAACCTGTGTTTCCTATTATTTTCTATCCTTTTAGGAAGCTGACCTCTCTTGATTCTGAGTATCATAACAACAACAAAAAAAATCATCAACTGATATTAATGCTTTGTAAGTAACTTTTGATGACATGGTCTCCTAGCCATGCTTCTAGGGAAGCATGATATCACCAAAGGTTGCTCTATGAGAATTCACAAGAACTGAAGTAATATTTGGTCAGAGAAAGAAGAAAATATTCTTAAGTCACTGTAAATACAATAGAAACTATAGTTTACTTACCCGACATAGGCCTTGAACACAGATGTCATTAGTTTCAGTTCCACAAGGAGTACCATCAGCAACCCTATCCTTCAACTGGTAGAAATTAGTGGTTCCGGCAACCCGACAATAGAGTTTACAGCGATCTTTTATGGCAACTGTAAAATAAATCAATTTTTGGTTTACTATAATAGAATTAAGGGCTCCTATATCTCAAAAAAATTTTACATTGAAGAAATATTATAATTACTTACTCCCACTATACTTTGGAAGCCACCTCACATTGGGAGTAAGACCATTGATGTTGAAATGTTTACCATCAAAATCAGAGCACTGCTTCCCTCGAAAGTCTTGCTTGCCTTTTGGACAGGAATCAGTATTACATGATCGAAATTTCATCCTGCGGCCCACACAGTATTTTCCTCCGTTTCTTGGCCTAGTCAAATTCATTACATTTTAAAGCACATCAGTACAATATTATTTCTGCCATTTACTTCTAAAACTGTTCCACTCTTTTACAGATCTGGAAAACCAGTGAAGTCCTACTGACGTTTTTTTTTGTTGTTTGTTTTTAACAGAAGCATGTAACAAAATTTGTAAACAATTCTATGTCTAATAAACTAAAAATATCTACCTTAGGGTGGACAACACATCCTGGAGGGCAGAAATTATGTCTTAGTCTTGAGTAGGTTAACTAACAAGTAACAAAATAAAAATGGGGATTCATTTTAAAACTTCAAAAAAGGGTTTGTTCATTTTCTGGAAAAAAAAAAAAAAGTGACTTAAAAATACTTTATTTCTCTGACCAAAAAAAGACACGTAAGATGTGTAGGAAGAGAAGATAATAAAAGAAGACAGAATCATGTTAAATAAAAAGATATATAGATATATATATGTATATGTATAGATATATATATGCATCTATATCATGTATATCCTACTTATCACTCAGTTTATAGTTTCATGATATCAATCTGTCTCTATCTCTGTTTCAACTTATGCAGTAAAACAAAAACTTTATCAAAATTTGAGTTTATTCAGGTATGCCACATTTCTGCATTAAAAATGTTTGTAAATAAGATTTTAAGTACTTAAAGTGTCATATTGCTTACCAACTTACATATCATTTATATAACAGAAACACTATTTTAAAAACTTTATTTAAAAATAATTTAATTTTTTAAATTCTTTCAAACAGTTTGAAGAGGGGGAGATATGCTTTGGTACTTATTCAGCTAAAGAGAATGATGCATCTATAACATGAAAAGCAGAGAAAGAAAATATGACGTGAAATTATCCAAAACAGTAAGAAATTGCTAAAAGCATTATAACCAAATTAAAGGGAATACTGTCTATAAGTATTTTGTCCAGGAGAGCCAAAACATAGGTGAAAAGATCTTTCAATAGAAACACAGTAAATGTGAAAATATTACTGTCATTCATATTGATTAGTGTTTCTCAAATTTAAACTAAATCAGAAAACAAAAAGGATATGAAGAAAAAGGTGTATGTCTCAACTGAGATTCTAGAAATTATTTTAATCTAAAATATTTACTTTTTTAAAGATCTGACTCTACCAAGACATAAAGTAATATGGCTTACAGTATTTCAGAAGTTTTCTGAATCTCAAAAACTTACAGACTGACCTCCAGTTTTAGAAGTAAATGAAACTGATGCTTACTTTCTGGTGCCTTGAGATAATCTTAATTTACAGTGACATAAAAAAGACATACTCGGGGCGATTACAGAGCCTGGTTGTGCTTTTGATTCCACCTCCACATGTTCTTGAACAAGAACTATAAGGTCCCCATGGTCCCCATTCACCATCTACAGGACGTGCTTCCATATCTTTGTTTACACATAGTCCATGGTGGCAATGCTATGAAATAATAAACACAGAAAGATTAGAAGAAATGATTAATGTATACGTAATTAGAACATCACATTAATTATAGTAGCAACATAAAGATCAATATAGGAACAAAATGCATACAATTCAAAGCAAAAATGTTCATTCAGAAATATGATTACATTTGACACCACTTTATGAATATTTCCTGAGTATCTACAGAGTAACTGTAAGAAGATTTGTGGAATGCAAAAAGAATACGATGTTTCCCTTTTCTTTGGGATTTCGAGTCTCTTTGCAGAGGGAAGGCCTCTGCATATGGAGAAAATCTAGGCACTAAAATGAAAAATAGTATTTTTAACAAAGAAGCAAAGAAATATTAAGCTAATATTGTATATATCCATGCTTCTAATTTTACTCAAACATATCCATTTACTCTCCCACTCTTTTAGATAATTTTCTAGTCCATCTCATCCCAAATCTCAAATTATGACCTTGTTTCTTACTTCATCAAGAAAATGGAATCTTATAGAAAGATACAAACTCCCACCACTTCTTCTACCCACCTAACATCGTCTCCACCAATGAACTCAGCCTATTATGAAAAATCCATGATCTTGTCCACACTAAATCCCTCCACCGGTATATTGATCCCATCCTTTCTCACTACTGTCCATCAATTGTCCCCTCTCTCCTATATTATCATTTAATTCTCCACCGCATGACTGCTACTCAAACTGTGGTCAATGCACTGATACCTGTCTGAATTAGTTGTTACCAGTCTGTGAGGAGGTAAGTACAGAAATTGAGAATAAGCATTTAGAAACTTTTATAGTAATGTGACAGAGTAATTTTATGTCTATTAAGCATAATAAATAAAAACATGGCTATATTTTGAAAGTCTTTTTTTGTATTTCATTTTCCTAGTAAATCATTTTTATTATTTTGTACAAAAGAATCAGTTTGTAAATTATTGGAAATAAAAATAGAGAAAACAGGTCCTTCATTACAGATAGTCTGAGAAGTATTTCACGAGGTCATTCCCATTAATATACAAACATACTGTTATTTCTCCCATCTATAAAAACCATTTTTAGTCCTCACTCCGTCACTAGCTACTATTGCTCTGTTTAACCTAGAAAGGGTTGTCTATGCTCATGGCCTAACTCTCTCTACCTATTCTCTCCTAACCCCACCCCATCAGGCTTTTATGCTCCCCAGCCCTCCCTGAATCTGCTCTTGTGGCGGTCACCAATGGTCTCACAATGCTATAATCAATGGCCAGTCCTCAGTCCCTGTCTTCCTTGCCTTATCAGCAGCATGTGACACAGTTGGTCATTCTTCCTCTTTGATACATTGGCTGACGTTGGCTTCAGAACTCTACACATTCTTGGTTTTCTTTTATCCTTAATGACTGTTCTTTCTTAGATTCCTTTTTCTTTTTCTTCTTTATGACCTCTTAATGTTAGAATGTCTTCAGGTCAGATCTTGGGCTTTTATTCTTCTCTATCAACACTCTCTTCCTTAGTAGTCTCATGTATCTCATCATATCCATCTCTCAATGGCTAGCAAATTTCTCTCTCTCCTGAACTCACCTCAAATATACAGCTGCTTACTCACCTCCACTTGATGTGTAATAGACTTTCAAACTTAACCTGCCCAAAATCAAATTTCTGTCCCTCCCTCTCAAAATCTGTTCTTACTGAAGTCTCCCCCTTCTAAGTAGTTGTTGTTAGGTACTGCCTAATTGGCTCTGACTCATAGTGACCTTATGTATAATAGAACGAAACACTGCCCAGTCTTGGGCCATCCTCATAATCGTTGCTATAGTTTGAGCCCTTGTTGCAGCCACTGTGTCAGTCCATCTCATTGAGGGTCTCCCTCTTTTTCGCTGACCCTCTACTTTATCAAGTATGGTGTCTTTCTCCAGTGATTTTCTCTCCTAATCACATGCCCAAAGTAAGCCAGACAAAGTCTCACCATCCTCACTTCTAAGGAGCATTCTGGCTATACTTCCTCCAAGACAGATTTCTTCATTCTTCTGGCAGTTCACAGTATATTCAATATTCTTTCTCAACACAACAATTTGAATGCGTCAACTCTTCTTTAGTCTTCCTTTTTCACTGTTCAGTTTTCACATGCATAGGAGGCAAATGAAAAGACCATGACTTGAGTCAGGCACATGTTAGGCATCAAAGTGACATCTTTGTTTTTTAACATTTTAAAGGAGTCTTGCAGCAGATTTGCTCAATGCAATACGCTATTTGATTTCTTGATTGCTGCTTCCATAGGCACTGATTACTGATCCAAGAAGAATGAAATCCTTGGATAATTTCAACTTCAATTTCTTCACCATTTATCATGATGTCTATTGGTCCAGTTTTAAGGATTTTCATTTTCTTTATGTTCAGTTGTAATTCATACTGAAGGCTGAAGTCTTTGATCTTCATCAGTAAGTGCTTCAAGTTGTCTTCATTTTTGGCAAGCAAGGTTGTTGCGTCATCTGCATATCTCAGATTGTTAATGAGTCTTCCTCCAATTCTGATGCCATATTCTTCCTTATATAGCCCAGCTTCTCAGATTATTTGTTCAACATATAGAATGAATAAGCAACATGAAAGAATACAACCCTGCTTCACATCTTTTCCAATTTTAAACCACGCAGTACCCCCTCATTCTGTTCGAATAACTATCTCTTAATCTATGTACACACAATTAACTGTTCTGGAATTCCCAATCTTCAAAATGTTATCCATAATTTTTATGATCCACATAGTCAAATGCCTTTGCAGAGTCAATTAAACACAGGTAAACATCTTTCTGATATTCTCTGCTTTCAGCCAGGATCTATCTGACATCAGCAATGATATCCCTCTTTCCACGACCTCTTCTAAATCCAATTTGAACTTTGGCAGTTCCCTATTGATGTATGGCTACAGCCATTTTTGAATTATCTTCAGCAAAATTTTGCTAGCATGTGATATTAATGATATTGTTTGATAATTTCCGATTTCTCTTTGATTGCCTTTCTTTGGAATGGGCACGAATCTGGATCTCTTCCAGTAGGTTGGCCAGATAGCTGTATTCCAAATCTCTTGACATAAATGAGTAAGGACTTCCAGGTTTGTATTTGTTTGTTGAAGCACCTCAGTTGGTATTCTATCAATTCCTAGAGCCTTGTTTTTCACCATTGCCTTCAGTGTGGCTTGGACTTCCTCCTTCAGTGCCAGACGTTCTTCATCATATGCTACCTTCTAAAATGGTTGAACATCAACCAATTCTTTTTGGTACAGGGACTCTGACTATTCCATCTTCTTTGATGCTTTCTGCATCATTTAACTTACTTTAACTCTCAACAAATTCATTCCCATCATATCATCTCACTGGGAAAATATTCCAGTGGCTAGTTAGCATATGAAAAGATGCTCATAAGATTGATAATAATCAAGGAAATGTAAATTAAAACCATAACTTTATTCCATTTTACACCCAATGTTGTTGTTGTTGTTGTTAGGTGTCGTCAAGTCTGTTCCGACTCATAACGACCCTAAGCACCACAGAACAAAACGCTGCCCAGTCTTGCGCCATGCTCACAATCATTATTATTCTTGAGCCCATTGCTGCAGCCACTGTGTCAATCCATCTCATTGAGGGTCTTCCTCTTTTTCGCTGACCCTGTACTTTACCAAGCATGATGTCCTTCTCCAGGGACTGATCTCTCCTGACAACACGTCCAAAGTATGTAAGACGTAATCTTGCCATCCTTCCTTCTGAGGAGCGTTCTTGTACTTTTTCCAAGACAGATTTGTTCGTTCTTTTGGCAGTCCATGGTATACTCAATACTCTTCGCCAACACCACAATTCAAAGGCAGCAACTCTTCTTTGGTCTTCCTTATTCGTTGTCCAGCTTTCACATGTACATGATGCGATTGAAAATACCATGGCTTGGATGAGGCAAACCTTAGTCTTCAAGGTGATATCTCTGCTTTTGAACACTTTAAAAACGTCTTTTGCAGCAGATTTGCCCAATACAATGCATCTTTTGATTTTCTGACTGCTGCTTCCATGGATGTTGTTTACTTGTGGATCCAAGTAAAATAAAATCCTTGACAACTTCAATCTTTTCTCCGTTTATCATGATGTGGCTTATTGGTCCAGTTGTGAGGATTTTTGCTTTCTTTATGTTGAGGTGTAATCCATACTGAAGGCTGTGGTCTTTGATCTTCACCAGTAAGTGCTTCAAGTCCTCTTCACTTTCAGCAAGCAAGGTTGTGTCATCTGCATATCGCAGGTTGTTAATGAGTCTTCCTACAATCCTGATGCCCCTTTCTTCTTCATATAGTCCAGCTTCTCGGATTATTTGCTCAGCATACAGATTGAATAGGTATGGTGAAAGGATGCAACCCTGATGCACACCTTTCCTGACTTTAAACCATGCAGTATCCCCTTGTTCTGTCTGAACAACTGCCTCTTGATCCATGTACAAGTTCCTCATGAGCACAGTTAAGTGTTCTGGAATTCCCATTCTTTACACCCAACAGAATGGTTAATTTCTTTTTTCTTTTTTTTCTTTTTTTTAACACTAACAACATCAAAGGTTGACAAAGAATGCAGAGCAAATGGAATTTTCATATACTGCTGAAATGAATTTACAATGGTAATAATACTTTGAAAAATTGTTTGGCACTCTCTTTTTCATTTGCTTTTTTTAAAATTGTGCTTTAAGTGAAAGGCTATAGCTCAAGTTAGTTTTTCATACAAAAATTTATAAACACATTTTTATGTGACCTTAGTTGCTCTCTCTATAATGTGACAGCACACTCTTCCTTTCCAGCCCAGATTTCCTGTGTCCATTCAACCAACTCCTGTCCCTTTTTGCCTTCTGATCTCGCCTCCAGATAGGAGGTGCCCATTTAGTCTCATGTATCTACTTGAACTAAGAAGCACACTCTTCACAAGTATTACTTTATGTCTTATACTCCAGTCTAATGTTTGTCTGAAGAGTTGGCTTCAGGAATGGTTTTACTTCT